GGACAGGGGCTGCCTGGCCCGGCCTGGGGGGGGCAAGAGGTGGCTTCCAGGAAGGGCACTCAGGGACTATCTCTCTGATAAGGTTACACTGAGCACAGACCTAAATGAAATAAGAAACTGAGCCGTGTGGAGATCTGGGGGAAGAGCATTCCAGACAGCGGGAACAGCAAATGCAAAGCCCATGGAAGCGTGACTTTGAGGCACAGCAAGGAGGCTGGCGTGGAGGTGGGGGCAGGGGCAGATCAAGCAAGGGCCTTGAGGGCCACAGTGAGAACTTGGGCCTCTACTCAGGGAGAGACGGGAGCCATGGGAGGTTCTGAGCAGAGGAGGGACAGGACCCAACTTCGGTTTTCACAGAATCCTCCGCCTTCCACACAGAGAATGGACTGTGGGGGACAAAGGGGAAGCAAGGAGCCCGTGAGGAAGTCACCGCAGCTGTCCGGGTGGAAGATGGTGGTGCCCGGGACAGGGTGGGGACAGTCGGGGTGGGGAGAAGTTCAGATTAGGGTTGAAGGGTTTTGAAGGCTGAGAGCCCTCACAATTTGCTGAGGGACGGAGGGAAACAGCAGAGCCAGAAGACTCCCCAGGTTTCTGCCTGATGGGGAAGACTACAGTGAATGGGATTATGCGACACATACGTTTCTTTATCTGACCACTACCCCACTAAATGGGATTAAGGGATATACACATTTTCTCATTTATCCGACCACTGCACTTCAAGCTTAGTCCAGGGTCATCAGCCCTGGGGCTCTCCCCAGCCTAGGTTAACACTTGAGCGTCTTAAGAGAAACACCCGAATCTTTAGGGTTAGCACTTAATAAAGGACTGATTGAATTAAGCAAGCGGCCACAGAATGATGTTAAATCTCTGGATAAACAAAATTAAGGGTGGGTCAGTGTAGGGCCTTCTTTTCCCCACTAGGGGAAAAAAAACAAAGGGAGATTTGGTCATACCAGTGCGATCCCATTTCTGGAATAGGAAACCAGAACGGGGAGATGCCAAATCACTTACAGAGTTTAAGCTGGCGACCGGCAGGAAAAGGGGGCAAACCCAGGCCAGTCAGACAATGAGCCGAGGCCATCACCCCTGCCCTAAGCAAAGGGCAGATTTTTTTCCAGCCAGCACAGGGGAGCCCTGGCAGGTTTTGGAGCCAAGGTGTGACCAGATAAGACGCTGGTTTGAGAAAGGTCACCTAGGGTGTGCCCAAGAAGGTAAAAGCAAGCATGATCCACTCTCCCTGGTGACCAGGCCCCAGAGCCCTTTTATCCTTTCAGAATCCGAGCCAAGGACTTCCTGCCCTCATGTTTCAGGAAAAACATCCAAACCCACCCCCCACTACTTGAAAAACTAATTAATTAGACTCAAGAGCCCATCATCCCTTGGGTCAACGCCTGGGGCAGATGCCCCCACCTCCCTCCTTGGGCCTCAGTGCTCACTTTCAAGAAAATGGGACCGATCAGCGCAGTGGGCGAGAATTTAGCTGACCCTTCAGTTGCCAGGGGAGGGAACCAGCTGAGTTACCAGTTAACGGGAAGACCTCAGACCTAACTAACCAAGGTGCTGACCTGTCGGCACACACCCCAAGGGCGGCTCCTGTCTGGATGCAATTTACTCAAACGGGGTCAGAACCCCCAGCATAGACCTCTGCCCCCATCCGCCCGCTGGGCCGGTCAGTTTCCCTTCAGTTCCCCCGGCCACCCACCGCTCTCCTTTTCTTATACTAAGTGGGTCCTCCCGGCCCCCAGGCGTCCACTCCCGCTCCGCCCTGGGCTGGACCTTCTTCCCAGCTCCCGGCTCCGGTCAGGTTCCACCCCAGGAAAGGCGGGAGGCTGAGGATCTGCCCTGATTACTATTACCGCCGTCGCTATTATTTTCCCGGGCGGGAGGTCCCTGCTGCGGACGATCGGGGAGCAGAGCCTGCCTCTTCCCGCCGCTCGCGGCCTTGCAAGCCGGTGGGTGTCCCGGGCCGGGAATGGACAGGGGACGCGCTCGCCACCCCCCGCCACCACCTGGCACTCACCGAGGTCCGCGGCGGCCGGCGCCCCACTTCCGCCGGTGCCCCGCTGCACAGGCCCGGGCGGG